GAAAAGCTGCGATACGCGCCCCACGGTATTCAATAAGACGACATTCATTAGTGGCCACATATTGTTGTCCTGAACTGTGCTGTGAGTGTTGGGATGGCATCGATCCTGAATTGTGTTGAGGCGTTGTGAAGAATGGATAGCCCGGGAATGTGGCGGCGCTGTGATGACGAATCTTCTCTGTTAAACCACACAATCATACAAATTATATAACAATTTATATAACTTTTTATTATTTATTTTTATGATACATTGTATTTATCGCAATCGTAGGTTTAGTGGCATTAAAAGTTTAACACCTTTTTAAATAGACTTAAATTACTTTAGAGTTATTTCAAAATTTGTTCGTTTAGTGCTTTAGTTTCACTGAAATAGGCATTGAATGCAAATTTAGCTATAATTATGGGATTAAGTGCTAAATTGAATGCATTTACTTAAAACGGGTTCTTTGATATGTATATAAGACTAATGAATTGATGCAAAAGAGTAAACGAAAGCAATAAAATGTTGAGAGAAATAGTTATATAATAGTAGAGAACTTACGGTTAGTTCTGAGATCATTGGGTTCTGAATTGCTGTCGTCTTCACTCAATGTTGTGGTCGGACTGTTGTTGTTGTGATAGTGTTGCTGATGGGTAGACACGCGATGATGGGGTGATTGGGATGACATCTTAATAAATTAAATACAGTATTGCACACAAACAACTTTATGGGTTGATGTTATAGAAGTTATTAACTAATGATGACTTTTGTTTGAAAAAGTTTTAAAATTTAATAAATTAATGCAATGAATGGCATTGTCTTTTCCGACAGACAAAACCAAAGTTGATTTGAAATGTTATTTGAAATAAACTTGTTGTTCGTGTAGAGTATAGTTATGAACACCGATTGACACCGAGTTTTGGACTAATAATCAAAAACATTTGAGTGAAAATAGTTATTAAGAAGAGTTACAATCAAATGAATCGAGTTTTATATGGATTGCAAAACAATTGAAGAGTGGATTGAGTTCCCAAATTAGACCCTATATTACATGTTTGATATGAGCCAAGCCTTTAATGTGATGTCATATGAGTAATAGGAGATCAACACAACTAAATAATGCTAAACAATGACAATCAGAATCTGTTTGCGATTCCAACGCAAAACAGTTAAACATTGAAACACTAGACAAATGTTCATTGAGTGAACTAATGGTCTGTTTGTAAAGAGTTTTTTGGCCGAAAAGTAGTGGACAAGTTGTGCAACATTTGGAGTATTGGCTTGAAATGTATGTGAATGGGAAGAGTGTGTAATTCTGTGCCAAAACCACAATTGGCATCGACTTCACACTCCGCACACTTACTGAATGATTCACTTTTTTCTCCGATTCCTATTCATCTGGTTTTGGGATTTGAATGCCTTCTCGTCTGCGCAGACGCTCTCAGTCTTCACGCGATTCTCTTCACTGATTCTTCAGTGCATTGAGAGTCTCATCGGTGGCTATAGTATGGCTGCGCCTGTGCTCTGCCTGTGCTCTCACCTCTCAAGCCCTCACATCCCAGTTCTCAGGGCTCAACACTCGTATAAGTCTTACTATTTTCTATGTATTTCCACTGCTCTTCAAATCTGTTTTGCGAAATGATTATATGTTTTGTTGATTAATGACTAACTATGATGTTATTACAGGTTAAACATTTGTCCGACAATTATGTATTACAGCCAATCATTGATCGCCAAACACTTATACAATCANTATTTTCTATGTATTTCCACTGCTCTTCAAATCTGTTTTGCGAAATGATTATATGTTTTGTTGATTAATGACTAACTATGATGTTATTACAGGTTAAACATTTGTCCGACAATTATGTATTACAGCCAATCATTGATCGCCAAACACTTATACAATCAGAAATACTCGTAAAAAAGTTGTCTCAAAGAAAGAAAAACTTTTTTATATCTTGTCTTTTGAGAAGTCTTAATGATTAGTGTTTTTTGGCATAACTTTTGATATTTAATAAAAGTTAGTAAACACTGGAGGGCTTAACAGCGTTGACAATATATTGTATATTCTATCTTAATGTATGGCAATTCAAGTTTGCTATTAAACATTAAGTGTATAATGAATTCATTTTGTTTATTAAAACAATTAATTAATTTCATTTGTCGTATAATAAAAGAGTGGGAATTCATATGATTGACTTAAATAAAACATGTAAATTATTGCTTCAGTATTCTACATTTAAATATTAAATTGTTCATTTATAATACCTCGTGTTTTCTATTAGTTTTGATTTTAGTTTGTCGATTAGTTTCTACAAATAAATAAAATAATATAAATAATATAATATGTTGTGATTATATAGAGTTAGTTTTGACATTAAAATGAAAGTAATATTTGTCTTATTTTGCATTATAAGTATATTATGACATATTGTTTAAAAAGACGATTCTTCTATTCATTGAAGAGAATGATATATTTTCATTATAATTGTTTGCAAATTAGTTGAGTATTCATTTGTAAAATGGGAAACAAAACTAAAAAATAATACTTTACTGACGACAGACCCAAAGAGAAGTGATTCTGTATACGATATTATGATTAGTTTTTGCGGCGATTATGTATCGCATATCAATTTAAGAGATGTATTGTTGCCTCCATTTGCGGCTCAGTTTACTTTTACTAATAATAAGAGATTTTTGAGCCAATTATTCCCAAAGTAATATTCATACAAATATGCAAATCAATTGCTATCAGATTTCATTTCGTTGTCTATTAAAAAGCATTGCATTAAAGCATTGCTTTTCAAACAGCATTATCTTCAAAGAAATAAAGCCTTTTATGGACTTAATTATAGACCATTTCATTCTCTGTTAGCACTAAAACGACAACTCTTTTAAAATTTTACTATTTATTCGAAATAAATGCAAAATTTGATACTAAAATTGCTCTCAAACTCATTGATTAGCGTTTGATTCACTGAATAACATAAAAACAAACGTTGCCTTAAATCTAAACATTCGTTCAAATTTATATTTAATTTTAAATCATTATTTTCTTATACATCATAATCACTATATTATGATTATAAACATATTTGGAAACATTTTGTAAAAATATTTTGTCAGTTATTATAAAAATCATGACTTATATAAAACTTATTCTTTATATTTCTAAATCAAGAGTCTTTTACAACTGAGATGTTTAGAAATGATTTAATTGTTTGCATAAACTCTCTCTCTCTCTCTCTCTCTC